TTATTATTATTATTATTATTATTATTATTATTATTATCACCATAAATGCATTGCTACCACTGTGGATTTATTAGTAGTTTACGTATCTATCCATATCTATCCATCCACCCATTCATCCATCTATTAATTTATCTAATTATTGATTCATCTTTCCATCCATTCATCCAACTACCCATCCATCGTCCGTCTCTCCATCTAACCACTTATTTGTGACTTTTGACCTTTGACCTGTCCATCAATAAACCATCCACGCGCTCACAATGTCCATTCATTCGTTCGTTCGTTCGTTCGTTCGTTCGTTCATTCTTTGAAAGGCTCATTAATCTTTCCATCCGTATCTCCAGCCCATTTATGAAGTTTTCTTGTTCAAGAAGTTGCAGTAGATAATTTATCTCAAATGCGACCATGTTGTCTTTTTTTTCTTCTCTTTGATCCGACAGTTCACTTTATTTTAAGCTTTTTTACCAATACACATCATCACATTACTCTTCCAATCATAAAAATGACTAAAGTTGACATTACATCATGGAATAATTGTAACTTAGTAAGGTTATTCAACCGTTGAGCAAACTGATAAAAAATTTTTTGAAGTTGCGTGGCAACTTTAATGGCCGAAGAACGTTTTCGGAGAAAGCCGTCATTTTCCTCACCATGCAACGTTTCGTGTTGAGATTTCAAAATCTTCCAGCATCCATTTTTTTGCAATTATATTTTGGAAATGCAAAGAAGGCGGGTGTTTCATTTTGTATTTGCACCATAAATTGTTCACAATACTGCCTTGCATAATATTTGGCTGGCCTGGTCGGCATATTTATCATCATCACCTTTCTCCTCCAACTAACCAGCCGGCATAATTTAATAACTCTAAGCACTCTTTATTTTCGAATGTGTTTGGGAGTAGTTTGTTGATAACCGCGCAAGCATACGGACAGAATTGATGGGATTGTTACATTAAACAGTTTTTTCACCGCGATATTTCATCAAATATAAAGTGTGCTTTTCACTTCAAAGATAGGACAATAGGAGAAAAATCAAATTGCTGTTATTAGCCATAGAAGTTATTTCTCAACTTTAGGTGAACGTTTAAATATTTAGAAAAGTCAAATGTTTTTAATGAAGTTAAAACGTCTTCACTTTTACTATCCCAGCCATATTTAATCTTTCGTGACGTAGTGGTGTGACGCTAGCTAACACACAACACACAAGGAGATCATTTTGATAAAAGTGTTTTTTCAACAGAACCAGTTCATGCCCCAACAATTTACGTTCTGAATTAAAATTTTATTTTAGATTAAGACTCAATAACTACAAAAAAACTTCAAAAGCATTTTTGGTGACATGAAAATAAAAATAAACTTACTCTAACTTAACTTCATTTTTTTCTAATTTTTTTTACTTCAAACACAATTTGAAAATTTTGTTTTTATTACTTTTTTTCTCATTAGTTTCGCATAGGTTGTAACCATCACACTTACACGTATGCCATCTATTCAAATAAATTACTTCAATCCAATTTCAACACCTTTTATTAATTACTAAGATAAGCTTGGAAATGAATTCATAGAAAGACATGAAAACAACCGGACTCCAGTTTAGGTATATTCCTCATGAGATCTGTGCATAAGTGCAAATGTGTTTAATTCATGTCTTGGAATGGTGTAGGTGTCTTGGAATGAAGATTGGGCTCTTTTGACTAATAATTAAGAATTATAATTTTTCCAGTGCAAATTCTATTCCATTACTTACAAGATGGTTAATTAGTTATTTAACCAGTAACTTTTGTTTTTTACTATTTAACAAAAGTTTTCACGGTATAAAAACGTGTTTTTATATTTCAATTTTAAGAAAATATCTTTCTTTCGAAAAACCCACTGCTTGAATTATTAATGAATCAACTCATTTCAACTTAATTTACTAAACAACCACCCAAAAAATATTTTCCATCATTTTGTTTTAACTTTACTAAAATTCAAACGCAGTGATAAGAAACTTGAAGAAATGAATTGAATAAACAGGCGTATGAGTGTTAGCGTGTGGGAGAGGTTTGAACGTTTTTGCGAAATACCACTAGTGTGGTTAAACGATGGTCATACGATATAGCTCTTACATCTGGTTTTTGTCAGTGCGTAGAATTTAATAACAACAAAAATGCCAATTTATTGTTGTTGTTGTTATTGTTGATGCTTTATAAAAAAAATACTGAAAAAGTTGGTTAACGTATAATCATTAAGATGATTGTTATATTGGGGACATATTTTTTTTATAAAAAAATACCCATCCAATTTGGAATGGCCGTGTTTAAATGATATCGCGTATTTGTTTTTTTGTTTCTGTTCTAGATGACAGTGTTTGATTCGCATACGATGCCGACATGTTATATTTTCTAATTCCCTTGAGTTATGCTGAATGCTGGTTTTTAACGATAAACTGAAATTAAAATGAAATTATCATTGAAGCACTAATCTGAATCTTCTAATCAGTGTCGACTGTTTTAGGCTTGAATTGGTTTGAAATCTTCTAATCAACAAACTTTTTGTATAAATCTTATTAAAATAATTTTGGCTTCCAAATAATTAGCATATAGGTTCCATGATATCTGTTATAATGACTGAAATGAATTTAATTTAAATAGTTTTAATGTTGGCAAAAAATTAAGCTGCTTTGTATTCTACATTTTCTTCAACACCGAAACAGAGCGCTTAAAATAATAAAATATTGCCTCAACTGGTCTGCTGTTTTTTTAGATCCATTGTTATTAACGCTTCAAACTTTAATTAAATGTTTTCAAATTAATTTTGACTTGGCGCAATGAAATAAATAAAACTAACTTCAAATCGTGAAAAAAAAATTCACCTTGTACTAAAAACAAACAGCAATTTATTTATTACCCAGATGCAACTAAGCTGAACATTTTTTACACTAAATCTTCTTCATTGACAAAAAAATTTGGAAAGTGTTATGTAACAACTCAACGAATTCATTGAATAATTGTTCAATTCTAAACTGAATTTGCGTCCTTTTCGAATCAAACTCTCTCTGTCTCTCTCTCTCTCTCTCTTTCTCTCTGTTTTTGCACGAATTAATAAAAATTAAAATTAAACAAAAACCAGCACACGTCAGCAGTGATGCCTGCACCTGCCTTTGTTGAACTAACACATGAGAGTAAAAAATGTGAAATTCACTTTAAAATTCACTTTTCGAAACATGAAAGCGCTGTTATAAAATCTAAGCTAATTTGCAATAAAAGGAAATAAATTTAAAACACGACAAGTGAATGATAGTTAAACATAAAATATCTTTTGACGTAAGAATAGATTTATTTGTTCTGAATAAAAAAATAAATCCTTCCGCGTTATGATAACTCACTGCGTACAATGTAGGTACAAACTCACAATACAAATAAAAATTTGAAGAAAAAATGTTTAAAGTTATACGTAGAAAAAAAGAGAACCACGCAAATTTGTGGAGACATCATCTAGATCAAATTAAACATCTGACTAAAAATATAGAAGAGATTTATTTTTGATTTGACATAATAGACATAATTTGACATAAATAATAAAAATTCAGTCATGTTTCTTATAAAAAATTATACTAATTAAAAAACATTAACAAAACCATTTAAATACAAATAATTTTTTAAATAAAAATAAGTATAATTAATAAACGAACTGTCAAAACTTATAAAAAAAAGCAAATGAACCAGAAGCACTTAAACCAAGTCAAAGTAATTTAAATTGCAAAGCTGGCTGCATTGATTGAAAAATTACAAAAAAAGTGATAAATAATATGAAACACAAACTGGGAAGAGTGGTAAGTGAAATATAAAAAATAAATAAAAGAAACCGCTCAGCTGTCATCGGCGAGCCAACTGTTTCCCAAACTCATCAGAAGTGATTGAGATTCTCGTTGGATGGAATGCATTGTAGTGCTGATATACGAAATACCAAGCAATGTTTTTATAGTTATAATAATGTTGTTAAATGAAGAAACAAATGTAAAGATACAAACAAAAATGCAGTGAAGCAAATCATTGAAAACTACACAAACATGTACTCCCAAAATTTTTGAAAAATATAATGATTTTTGATATCTGATCTACATATACAGGCGTTCACATATACGTTCACCAATTCATCATGCAAACACACGCTCACATACAGACACAGACAAACACAGACAGACTCATTCGCGCATAGAGAACTGCACAAAACGTCATTAGTAGGCAGACGACACACACAGAGGGGATGGAAGCTTATTCATTCTTTGGTGGCATAAATAAGCTCATATCTCTTTAAAATATTTGATGCTTGACGGATCAAGCGAATATTTTGTGTATTTTTTGCGATCGTTTGGCAATTATTTTTTTACCAGTTTTTAAATTTTCTGTTTTTTCTACCAGACTTATTTCTAAATTATTATACAGATCAATACAATATTCCTACTTGATTTTTTACACTGTCTGATCGTTTCAAATTAATCTAAGAATTGACCAGCTTGAACAAATTTGCGCTCCTCGATCAAAAACCAACTAAAAGACGTATAAATAAATAGATGGTTAAATAGATAGATTGATAGATGGATAAAGTGGTAGATATATAGTTAGTTCAGTCGGGAGAAGTGCTATGTTTCGCACTGTTCTTACGCGTTGGCCGGTTCGATAACTGTTTGCCCTAAACGCCAGGATACTTACATCGTGTGGTCTAGGTCTAGATATTGATAGTACAGCATTTGCGGCGTAAAAGTTTGATCATGAGTATAAAATGACATGTTGGCAGCTTTTGATAGAGCTGCATAATAAAAACTAAAATGAACATGAATAGAAAAATAGACAATTAGTTGGATGGATGGATGGATGGATGGATGAGTGGATTGGTGGATATGTTGAAGGATAAATAGATGGATGAATGAATGAACGGATGAATGAATGAATGAATGAATAGATGGATGAATGGGTGAGTGAAAGGATGGATAGATGGATAAGTAGGTGTCCGTCGAAGATGCAAACTGACCAGGTTTTCACGGGTGTCGCTTCAAAAAGTGGAAGTTTATGTGTGGAATGCGTGAGGACGTCGTTATTATTCGCATCATATAATTCTTTTTTTAACTCCTAAATTTCATAGTTCTTCTTCTCATTACTATTTATGATTATTATTATTGTTGTTATCTTTCATATTATAGTTGTTATTTTTATCATTATATAATATTATAATTAATGTTATTGTGAATGCAATGATTCCCATCTTCTTCATTATCGTCATACTCGCATCCATCCCTCCTCCGATAATTAAGCTGGCTTCATTCTGATTTCACAGTACACACCCACAGCTTTCTTTAATAGATTCGTGAAAATAATTCACCGAATACTTCTTGTCAGTTTTGCTTTTGAAGGATTCGCCTGTTGTAGCGAGCTGCATAGCATGATTGTTTCAATAAGAAATTTGACCTGTAATGTCACGTTTTTCATAATTAAAATTTAATCAACATTTTAAACAAACACACATACATACACACACACCACACACAGGCACACACACCACACACAAGCACACACACAAACGCGCGCACACACACACAAACACACGCATTTTAAATCTCTTTATACTTGCAGGAATAGCTGGCAATGCGTTGGTCTTGTATGTCTTCTCCTGCAGGTCGGACCGACTCGTTTCCTCGCTCTTCATCGTGGTGTTGGCAGTGGTCGACCTGACCACCTGCCTGCTGGTCATCCCAGTGACCGCATACCTCGAGTACGTCAGCCTCAACATCTCCAATGATTTCCTTTGCAAGTTCTATTATTTTTTCCTCTGCACGACAATCCTCTACTCGACGTTCGTCATGGTGGCCATTGCAGTCGATCGATATTTCTGCCTCTGCCATCCATGGCGCCAGGCCGTCACGAAACTTCGAGCGAAGATTTTGTTAGCCGTCTTAGCTATATTCAGTTCGGTGCATGGCTGTGCGATTGCCTGCATGAACGGAGTTTATCACGACGATCCAGACCTCGAAAACTTTCAAAATCATTTGAAAGTTACTAACTGTTCGGATTCAGCAACAAGAGAACAACTCCTGAACGAAACATTATTTCAGCGCCCAGATTTTGCCACGCTGGCTTGCATTCCAAAAATTCGTGAGGGCACAAACCAGCTGATACTGGTGATAAGTAGCGAACTATGTGGCGATAGTTTCAATCTTATCGGACCGACGGTTCAGTTTGTTTATAAGCGCATCATGTTCGCTATTTTCGGATTGAGTGTTCTTGCAGTGTTCATCCTGTACATCGCAATCTACAGATCAGTAACTGCCAGGCGGGTAAGGAGAATGCGGAACAGAAGACTGGGAACTCAACCGACACTGATCGTAGCATTTCCAAAACAGAGCATATCTGTTGTGCCAGGAGACGAGTCCAACACACAAAGCGACAAATTTGGAGTAGGAAAGGTCACAAATGTTTCCTCTTCGTCGGTCACTACCAGTAGGAACGGCCCCTTCAAATCTAACTTGATTTACAAATTGAGGAACCGTAAACATCACGAACCCTTGACCAAAAAACGTCGCTACAACAGCGAGACGATCTACGAAAAGTTATTGGACGCCAATAGAAATTACTGTCCCTGTCCTAGCAGAAATCTTGCGGACAACAACGTAAGCGAGCTGAAAGAGAAAGCATCTGCCGACGACGGTGCCAACAGCCACGCGACCATCTTAACATTGAACTGCATAAGCGCGACGAACAAAACAAGCAATCTGACAGCTAAAAATAGACCGAAAAACAAGATTGATGACGAAATTGAAATTGATGACAATTACAAGTCGGTCGGTGACAAGAAACAATTAAACGCAGAACCTGCAAATAGGAATGCCGCTGATGGCCGTTGCAACGATGGGGACAACAACATAAGAAAGAGTAGAACGTTTGACGGCGTGCCTTACGAAAAATCAACAAACAACAACATTACACACTACAACAAAAACAACAACAATGTTAATTTCAACAGCAACAACAACAACAATGTTATTTTCAACAACAACAACGACAACAATACTGTGAATTTCAACAACAACAACAACAACAATGTTAATATCAACAACAACAACAACGACAACAATACTGTGAATTTCAACAACAACAACAACAACAATGTTAATTTCGACAACAAAATAAACAATGACGTCAACCCCAACAGCACTACAAACGACAAAGTTATTTCCAGCAATACGAGTAATTCATTGACAGACGTAACGACCTGCAAACATGTTGATGTTATCAGTAGCAGTGACGAGAACATTGCAATAACAAGCATCAGACCGAGAAACTATCACAAAAAAGAAAAAACACTAAACCACGAAGTTTGCCAAACGACGAGCCCGAACCAACTAAAATCGTTAACGACCGTGACAACGAAACCAATTACAATCGTCGTCTCAAACCACGCCTGCAACAATGAAAACGTCTGCAACAACGACAGCAACAATACAACATCAACTGCAGTTGCCAACACTAACAAAATCATCCTGAACAACAACATCTGCAACAGACCTAGTCTAGCAACAACAACTGCAGCAGCAGCAACCACACAAGCAACAAAACCAACATCGTTAGAGATTCATGTTAGTGAAAACATGAAGATCGCATTCATGCTCTTCATCGTCACTGTCGTATTTGTCCTCTCCTTCCTTCCCGCCATATTAATTCTTCTACAAATTTTGCCATTTCAACCGTTTCTCTTCTACGTCTACTTCATCAACAACCTGTCCAACCCTGTCATCTACTCCTTTCTCAACGTCAACTTCAGAAACAAACTGAAACAGCTTCTCTGCTTCAAGAAGAAACAGAACATCGCTAAAAAGTAAATGTTAAACATCAAGCTAAACTGGCTAAAATTTTGAAATGTGTTACATATCGTTAAGAAGTAAATGTTAAACATCAAGCTGAGCTGCTTAAAATATTGAATGCTCCGTTTTCAAGAAGGCAAAATAATGCTAAAATGAGAATGTTAAACATGAAACTAAACTGATTGTTATTCTAAAATGTTAAAGTAGCAAGATCAACAATCTAGTGCTGATGCTAACAATCTAGGTGTTTCTAGGTGTTGTGTAAAGTGAACAGACACAATTGTTTAAAATCACCTTTTAACAATTATTTAAAATAAAGACCGTATTGACAGCTTCGAACTGCGTGGTGGCCTAGTAGTTGAGGTCGCCTGGTGTTGTTTCGCAGTAACCGGGTTCGAAAATGATAAAAAGATCCACCACGCATGTCGTATGCTTTGTGTGTAATGCATCGTTTAGCATGTACTCATATAAAATGTTTGTGTGTTGCTGAATTCTCTGGACCTAAAAAGTGGGTGATAATAATTGTAATAATAACTATTATTATTATTATTTTAAATAACATTTTTAAACTCATGTAGATTTTTTTAATTTTTTACAGATAGATTAAAATCATATCTTTGTCAGCTATCTCCACATGAGCAATTGAGAATTTCATAGTAATATGTGTGTAATTTTTTATAAAATGCGACCATTTCAACTGTTCGTTGTTCTCGATATTTGATATCATCCTGGTGGTTTTACATGTTTAGTTTTGTATAGGTTTGTTTGTATTGAGCATTTTACCGTTATTTATAAGTTACATATATTATGCTCATGTGTGTGTGTGTGTGTGTGTGTGTGTATGTGTGTGTTTGCTTGTGTGTGTGTGTGTTTGCTTGTGTATGCGTGTGTGTCTGTGTGTGTCTGTGTGTATGTGGTGTGTGTGTTTGGGGAGTTGATGTGTGTGCTTAATTAAAAATACTTCCTTTTATAAATTAAAGTTTACCCATTGTGCTTAAAACTCCACAACATTTCAATTTAATATTTCAATAAAAGTCGTGAGCTCGCTTCAAAGATTTTCTTTCTTCTTCTTCTTTTTATGATTATCACTCAGTTTATTTTTAATTTTATTTATTGTTATTATTATTGTTATTGTTGTTATTAGGCTCATTTTTATCATTATTATTGACATTCACAGTGACTTTATTGTTATGCACATTCGGTTATGGTTGGTCATTATTGCGTCAGCGTCTGAATATCTTCACCATCACCAACGCATTCACTACTCCCACAGCCACCACTACCACTACTACTACCACAGCCACTACTACCACTACTACTACCACAGCCACTACTACTACTACAACCACCACCCAGAAAATTGAAATTATTTAAACAATCAATTGAAGTGATGAAATAAAGAGCGAGATGGGATTAATGGATAATATGCAGAATTTGATGGAATGATTTTTGAAAGGCAGAAATTTTTCGCATATCATCAGGGCTTCAATCCAGAAAGATTGATTGTGTATTTGAAAAAATGCACGATATAAAATAATGCAAACACAAAATGATGCTGATGCCGAATTAATTGTTTTGCTTGTTTGTTTGTTTGTTCGTTCGTTCGATCGTTCGTTCATTTGTTTGTTTATTTGTGCTACGAAATGTCAACGGCCTCAGATACATGATACATGATACATTTGATACATGCATCTACCTTTCATTTTGTAGGAGTTAGTTGTCCACTGAGCTGAGTAACGCACTTTGGGAGATGGAGGCTTCTAATGACAACAACAACAAAAAGCTCCAACGTTATCACAACATGGGCGAGGCCTGCAATGCCTCCATTTGAATGCCTTCATTGTTCATTGAATATAAAACCGGCTGCTGGCTGGCTTGATGGGTAGATATGTGGGTAAAGGAGAGTAAAGGGGTTGGCTATTATGGGAGGGCTTTGAGAGTAACTAGATGGCTGGGTGGGTAGATGGATAGATGAGTGGATTGTTGTATTTATTCGTTTTTATATATCTTCACTGGTCATTTTTTGTTCATATTGTTTATTAATAATAGTATAAAAAATAATTTTATTTGTATTATTATTATCACTATTTATTCATATCTTCGATATTAATTTGTTTATATAGAGGAAAATGTTGATGGCCCGTTGATAATGATGATTAACAGACGGAGGTGGAATGATGGCATGCCACGAAGATGTATGTAATAATGGATGACGCCGGAACTTTTCATCTGCTTGTTCCTTCGCTAATGCATGACGTACTTCAGTTTTCTTTGGAAGTTATTTGACTGCTGTTCTTGAACGATGGAGACAATTCATATCCATCTCAAGCAAAGTTAATTACACCAAGCGACACAAACACACACACAAACACAAACAAAAAAACAAACAAACACACACACACATATATATAATTTTTAATTGTGAATGTATAAAATTGTACAAAACACTTGCTATATGAAATATGCATATAAAGGCACTAGTGTTATACTTACTTACTCCAAATCATCGTCATCATCATATACATAATCATCATCGTGTTATCGTCCTCACCAACAACATTGTCGTCATTGTCGTCATCACCCTCATCATCGTCATCACCAAAAACATTATTATCATAATCATCATCATCCTCATCATCGTCTTCACCAACAACATCGTCGTGATCATCTTCATCATCGTCATCATCCTCCCACTCATTGCCAACACCATTCGCGCAGACATTGTGTTCATTGTTCGTATCATCATTTTAAATTTTAACTTGAATCTCATTTTTGATTTAAAAATATTTTCCTGTGCAAAATTTGCTACAATTCCGGTTATAATGCTTTCCGTTATTTGTCCGCGCACTCTTTGGAATGAGTGTGACGATGTGAGAATTCTCTTTCAGACACTTGCAATGATGATATTCTTAAAAAACTTTGTTACTACAAAGTTGTAGTTTGTTTCTTTGTAGTGTAGATGACATGTTTCCATGACGTCATTAAGTTCTTCGCGTTTGTTATGATAATGTTACGTGTTGTCATGTTATCAGTGCTATTGAATCATTATCTACATATGTTCGAGGGTTCCTTTTGTGTCTTGAATCAACATTTACTCGTGGAGTAATTTGTATCACTGTATGATATATAATGATAGTGTTTGTATCATGTTGATATTTGATATAATATGATGATGTTTTAGTTGAATGTATGCGAGTAGAGGAGTTTATGTGAGCTAAAGTCGTTTCGTTGTAATTTAATTTTAATAACATTAATCTGGACTGAAAAATATATAATTATTATTGGATTTGTTACTTTTTAATACAAAGACCGTTGTTGTTGTTTTATAGAAAAATGTTCCTACAATCGTCAATTGTTTCAAGAACACCGTAATGTTAGTCAAGTTTCATTTGTCGGTATGTTCAGTTTGAAAATTCGGATTTTTTCTCCTAAATCTTCATCACTTTCGTCATGAATTGAATCATCTACGTCACCATCATTATCATCATCATCATCATCACCGCTATCATCACCTACGCATTTTTAAACCTTTCGTTTTTATTTGTCATTGCAACTTTCATATTTTGTGCTACCATCATCATAATAATGATCGTCGTCATCATCATCATCATCGTCATCATCAGCATCATCGTCATCACCATCATCATAATCATCATCGTCGTCGTCATCATCATTATTAACATCATCATCGTACACTCATTCACTCATTTTCATCATTTAAACATCATCATCATCTTTGCTATCACCTCACAGTCATCATCATTATTATCCTTCATATTTACCGGGATAATATTAACAACAGAAATAATTATTTTATTATTATTATTATTAACATCATAATTTTATTATATTAGTTATTTCCAGTGACACTGTTTTGCGAGTTCCACATGTATTTTTTGTCATTAGTTGTGATGTACTAGCAGTTGAACTCATATCATCGTTGGCAATTTTACTATATGTATATACCGGTATATATATATATATATATATATATATATATATATACATATATATATATATATATATATATACATATTATGCAGTCATGCATATATATAATTTCATTATTACAAAATATTTAATAAATAATTAAAATAAAAATTGTGTGAGACGGATGTTGTTGTTGATGTTGCCGTTGTTGTTGCTGTCATTGTTTCTTATCATTTACGATGGTAATAAAACATAATTTCAATTTTTGGTCCGGTCTGGTATTTTTCTTATTTTCACGATATTAATGGAAAAATTTTTTAAAAATGCCACCAGATGATATTTTTATCAACGTCTATATGGTATTTTAGGTTAAAATCATGTTTTTTGGGATAAAAGTTTGGTATTGCATATTAGATAGCAGAGAGTGAGGAAGCGGAGTCGTAGTGGGATATTATTCATCCCACTCAGACATCCTGGTTTTTACCAGCTATTTCCACTGTCTCTTGGAATTGAAATTGCTTCCTAGCAGCCTGTCTCCATACTCTCACTTTACTAAAATCCATTTGTCAAAAAAAAACAATACAATAATTAACTAACTAGTTTTAGAACAACCTGAAAATGACAACAAATATATATATATATATATATATATATATATATATATATATATATACGAATATTTATATGGCGCTAATTAAAAAGTTTTTCAAAAGCGCTTACAACTAAAATAACATACAAAATAGTCAGATAAATCAAACATTAAATAAACATTAGATCAGTAAAAAAAATGAACATCAATGATTGAAACTACTGCGAAAATAAATATGTTTTCAACATCTTCTTAAATTTCGCAATACCCAGAGCAGGGTCTCGTAGGTCTTTGGTCTGTGTGTGTGTGTGTGTGTGTGCGTGTGTGCGCGTGTGTATTTTAATATTATATAAATATAATATAAACTATAGTTATATATTATATAATTATGTATGATATATCTACATTTATGAATAACTTGTAAAAATTGGCTTTTCAGTCAGGATGTGTCGTGTTTTTCATCAGGTGCCATTATACAGAACTCAGCTGTATCAGTAGC